TTCACCACGATTCCATGTAAGTGACCACCTGCAATCTATATACTACCTCAGAATTACAAAGTTCTATCTGACTTTTTTGGCCTTTTAGAGTTATTAGGATCCTGAGGTCAGTAACGAAATGTTCTATCTGCTTTATCAAAATCGTAAGATTATTCGGAGTCGTTATCAAGATATTCAAAGAATCGCATTCGAAAAAGCATGACATGATGTGAAGAATAAAAATCTTAAACGTCAAATTTCTCAAAACTAGGTACTGAGCAGATAGAACGTTGTACTTTTAGGGTAGCGAACAATAATATACTGCTACAGGTGTTTGGCATCGCGAACACTTCCACCTGTCGCAAAGCAACAAATCAATAGACCGTGCATCAGCAGCTGCTGCTCTGGTGATATTGAACAGCTTAGCGTCAGTGGCCTTACCTAGTGGTTAGGCTCTCGGACTCACAACTGTAAGTTCATGAGTCGTGGTTTCGAATCCCGTTAGGGGCCTGACGTTGTGTTCTTGGGAAAGACTCTTTACATGAATTTTCCTCACTTCACCCAGGTGGGAATGGGCACCCAGCTAGCTATAAGCAGCAAAAATTATTGTCAGATTGTTAGTGTTTTAGCGCTTAATTAACTGCTTGCACTGTATGCTTCTCGGGAAGTTGAGAATGTTTCGGAGTGTTCTATGATCTGCTGGGGTAATAATATAGTGTAAAGCGCAAAGAGCTTGCTGTTGAGCGGGGGCATGAGGTATACAAATACCATCATTATTAATATTCTTATCATTAGCAGATTATCGGATGTATGATAGTGATGTGCCCTGACGTGACATTTATTTTAGTAAAAGTCTTACGGCCCTTGCAACACAATAAGGTCCTAATATAATTGACAAAAATTTGAGGTGTTACGAGAGAGTAACAAAAATGAAAAAGAAGGTGGAGAGATAAAGACGATATATTTTTTGACAGCAAAAAAGGAGCAAATCACAGCAGAGCACCCGCCAACCACCCACCCTGACAAGAAAGTCCTCAGAAATTAAAACAACTGATTTTATAATGAGCAGTCATAACATTATTCAAAAGAAAAATATGCAAAATTCCAAGCGAATTGCTGAAACGGCCACCTGTCTGAGACAATTACTTGTATAAATATCCACTTCCCCTTTTCTCACTCGTTTTTCCACATATTATGTGTCACGGCGCGATGGAATCAGGCGCTCATCAATTTTGGGGCATGTGGAGTTACTGGTATCAACTTAAAGTTTCGATGAAAAAATTGCCTATTTATCTTGAATAGAAGACGAGATGTTTGTGAATGAAGAAGGTGAGGATCGCCTGGTTTCAGATGTAAAATTCGCGAGAAAATGGTCGTCAAATTCTGGTAACCAATGGTTTGAGAGTCCTGTAAAATGCACACGGAAATGTGTTGTTAAACGGACATAAAAGGGACATGTTGAGCATAAAAACAAAAACTCAATGAAAATTACCAAACTGGCGGGAAAAGTGCATATTTATTCGATCTCAAAATTGTGACGAGCGCCTGATTTCATCACGATGCTTCACATATTATGACACTGTTCAAGATGTCCATTTCGTTACCTTAGAAGTTTTATATGCGCAATACCTAGTTATGAGAAATTTAACGAATAAATTTGGAGTTTCGCAAAGAGTCAAGATTTTTCGAATGCAATTCTTTGAAAATCTGAAAAACGACTTTGAATTATCGTACGATTTTGATAGAGCAGAGAGAACATTTGTGAGGCAGCGTGGTGAAATCAGGCTCTCGTCAAAATAATGAAATCAAAGATATTGGCATTTTTCTGCCTATTTGGCAATTTTTATCAAATTTTTGTTTTTAAGCTCAACAGCTTTTATGTCCTTTTAAAAACACATTTCTGAGTAAATTATCCCGAAAAACGTTGATTAAAGGTACTAAAAATGTAAATTTTCAGTTTTCAAGGACTCTCACGCATTCAAAGATACCAAGCTTTGGCGGTCATTTTCTCCCTTATTTTTCCTCTGAAATCAGGTTACCCCACTTACTTCAATCAGAAACATTTCGACTTCTATTAAATATAGATGGGTACTTTTTACTCAGAAAGATAGGCAAATGAACAGGTTTTAAGATGACAGAAATAACTCCACATGCCCAAAAATTGACGAGTGCCTGATTCCACCACGCTGCCTCACATTTGGTTTATGACCTCATGATCTTAGTAACCTAAAACGGCCAAAAACGTCAGGTAGAACTTTGCAGTTCTAAAGTAGCGATCTGTCTAAGACAACGACTTTTCTCCTCGATAATGTGTAGTCGTCTCGGACCTTTTCGGGATTGTAATACAGGTTTAACACCCCTGGCAACACTGCAACGTTATTAAGTGGAGGGACCTCCGAATTTATTTAATTTCCATCTCCGATAAGACCGTACCAACTGTGAAATTTTTGTATAAAGTGTTGTTCATTTTTGACACAAAGTCAATCCCCTTGAACCCGCAATCTCGCAATTACGAGTCTGAGAGCCTGACCAATAGACTATCCATGTTATCCTGTTTAGACAACAAATGATTACAAAACTCATAATTAGATAGTGTTCTTAGTACTAATTGTTTTTTTCTGGCCAGGCATGAGTAGAGTTTCATAATATAAGTAATCGCAATTGCACAATTATTGGTCGGCAGTCTCTTTTCACCCAAAACTTAAGACGGTAATCACACAAAATCTCTTTTAATTTTATGCACCATGTAAACACAGAGTGCCTTACCGATGATTGTAGTCACTAAACATGTGAATGTTTCAGATCTTTTGTGAGAGGAGGTGTTGCTTGTCAAGAGTTTTTTTAAAGTATGTGCAGAAGACATTCTTCTCTAGCAAGCAGACGCAAATACTCAAGGAAATAATGATCCTCCCATGGGAATCGAACTGCTGTCTAAGTGCGTGCAAGATGAAGTGCTTGATCACTGCACCAACTGGCATCGGCAGATTTACAGGTACTTAGCTAGCTATTGAGATGGCTTGTAAACTTGTCAAGTACATGTAGCTCGAAGTTAGTTTGCTGTTGCACGCCCAATATTTTGCTGAATTGTGATAAACCGAAATGAGTTTAGTGGCCTATTGTATGTGCTCTTCTGGACGCATTGGAAAAGAAAGAAAGAAAAGCAGACAGACAGACAGATACTTCGAACTCACGTCTCCTGCCCCTGAAGGCAAAGCGCATTCTAACCGCTACACCCTAGACCCCAACCCAGCAGAAGTGAAAGCATGCATGCATGAGTGTATACTTAAGTGCATCTTTCTATATTACATCCTGTGTACGTGGTGGTGGGGGCCTGTTCGTATATTGCCGAAACATTGCCCCTAATAAAACTAAAAGCCTGTGTAATAAGTTGATGAGAGTAACGCAATCCCACCCCCCCCCCCCCCGCACTTCCAACACAAACAGTAAAACTTAAACAAGGACATAATAAGCCCAAATAAATCAACCCTCTTTTTTACTATCAACAGGATCGCTGTCCACTCCACAAATTCCTTCCGGACGCGCATGACCACATCGTAAAAGTGTAAAATTCTTGAATAAATATTCCACAAGTTTTATGCCACATTTTACAGTTTTGGAATCATTAGCCACGGGACGTTCGTGTAAGTAGCGCTGTTGCAAAAATACTGTTTTAAAAACCAAAACAAAACCACTAAAACAACCAAAAAACCCCCCCACAAAAAAACCAAAACAAAAACAAAACAAAACAAAGAAACAAAACAGAACAACCCCCCCGCCCAAAAAAATAATTGAACAAAACAAATTAAAAACGCAAAAAGATGTCTAAAAAAAGAAGCCTCCAAGGTCGAATAGTATACCCAATTCTGTTTAGAAAGACGTGGAAGAGATAGACAGCAATTAACTCTATGAAGACCCGCATTCTGGTCATCCGGCAACTATAACCCAAGAAGGCAAGGCAATGTAGGCAAGAGGACATTACCACCATAATAACAAAGAGAAAATGGAGATGGACTGGGCATGTTCAAGAAGAGAACCAGACACCTTTGTAAAGACTGTCCTCCACTGGACACCAGAAGGACATCGCAAGAGGGGCAGACCCAAAGTGACCTGGAGACGCAATTTAGAGTCTGAAATGAAGTTCTTGAACCATTCGTGGAGGACGTTGACCAAGATGGCCCAAAACAGATAGAGTTGGAGATCCTTTGTAGCTACCCTAAACGCCACATGGCGTGACGGGCAGTAAGTAAGTACTATGAAGGCAAATATCAAGACATTGATAGGAGTTAAACGCCAGTCAAGAAGACTCGTTTCCTTACTTCTAGAGGCTCCTCACTTAGAAATATTATAGACATAGCCCATGGAGGCAATGGAGAGATATGGAAGAGTTAGACAGCAATTATAAAGACTAATTTCCTTTCCTCTAGAGGCAGATGCAATAACTCAGAAATATAACATAACCCTTGAATGCGATGGAACAGTTATACTGCAATTCTGGAGTTTTATTTCAAAAGACTGTATATCCAGCTGAGGATGAAATTGAGATAGCGATTCCCCCTGATAGTTTAAAACATGGCGCCCATTTCTACCCTGGCCATGTATTGATATATTAAAGAATAAGGCGAAAAGAATGTTTTGAAGATATTCAAACACTTGGCTGTTAAGAAGTAAATAATATGTTGGAGAGGGAGGTTGTTTGTTGCTTTTGTTGTGGCTGCTGTTATTGTTGTGTTGTTGTTGTTGTTGTTGTTGTTGTTGTTGTTGTTGTTGTTGTTGTTGTTGTTGTTGTTTTGACTCTCCTGAACCTTTAACAACTCTGAATAATCTTACGATTTTGATAGAGCAGGCAAAACAGTTTGTTTCTGAACCCATGGTCCTAGTAACTCAAAAACGGCCAAATATTTCAGATAATACTTTGTTATTATAAAGTAGCGTATTTAACAACTCTTTAAGAAACCGGAAAATATAACAATAAACTGTCTTTTGAAATAAAACTCCAGAACTACGGAGACAAATTTCCTTACCAGCAGAGGCAGCTGCGACAACTCTCAGGAAAATGAACATAACCCACGAGATGGACAGAGCCACAAGGCAATGGAAGACGAGCATGACTGAGAGAGAAGTGTACAGGATTCTCCTCCTGCCGTAGATGTCTGCCACCATGCTGCCCAGACCTGCACCGATGATGACCCCGGCGCCTTGAGTGTAAGACAGAAGCTGGTGCAGCTCTCTGATGCCAAGTCCCGACAGGATCTGGGGAGATAATCAATATATTATAAGGCATCGTAGTGAAATCAGGAGCTCGTCAAAACAATGAAATCGAAGAAACCAGCATTAAAATTTGTCTACGAGTTTACCAATTTTCATCGATTTTTTTTCCTTGGTTTTTTTTTTTTGGGGGGGGGGTTGGTTGTTGTTGTTTTCTGCTCAGTACCTTTTAGTACATTTAAAAACACATTTCTGAGTAGGTTTTCCTGAAACAAGTAAATTTACAATTTCTAAGAAAACCTAAGCTGTGGAAATCACCAAACTTTGGAGGCACTATTTTCGACAATTTTACATTTGACACCAGGAGACACCTACCTCTTTCAACAGCAATTATCCCAACTACTGTTCAAGACAGGTAGATGAATATTATTTTCATTGAAAGCAAGGCCAATAAACAAGCTTTTTGACGATAACAATAACTCAGCATGCCCAAAAATTGACGATCACCTGATTCCAATTTTTGAGCAGCAGGCTTTTGAGTAGTATTACCAGCTTTTGAGCAGTATTACAAGCTTTTGAGCTGGAAGTATTACCAATTTTTTAGCAGTAAACATTGCCAACTTTTAAGCAATAAGCTTTGTCAACTTTTGATCAGTAAGTATTACCAACTTTTGAGAAGAGAAGTAAGTATTACCAGCTTTTGAGCAGGAAATATTACAAACTTTTGAGTAACAAACATTACCTACTTCTGAGCTGCTACATGATGAGGCTTTGGCCTCAATTATATATATATATATATATAAAATATATATATATATAGTGGGTGGCAAAGTACAAAATCCAAATCAAAACACCTACTTATGGGCAGCAAACATCACTAGTTTTTGAGCTGGCCCCCGAGCTGTGCTTTTACCATTTATTCTTACAGACGCAGTCAAGAAAGACAGACACAGACAGTCAGAAAGACTTTCTGAAATTGAACAAATTAATAAAGATAGAAGGATTCTCATGTTAGAAGATTCGTGACGAACAGAGGCAGAGATGCCAAAGGAAAGATTGTGGTGTGCGTGTGTTTGTGTGTGTGTCTGTGTGTGTTTGTGTATCTGTGTGTAAATGAGTGTATATGTGTGTGTGTGTGTGTGTGTGTGTGTGTGTGTGTGTGTGTGTGTGTGTGTCTGTGTACGTGTGGTGGGGCACATGTACGTCTGTAGCCGGTGAGATGAGTCTTAGCGAGTAGGGAAAGGGGGAGGGGGCGTAGAAGAAAGAATAATGCAGGTTTTTATTGATTTACGAAGCTATATTAGAGAATTAGGAATCTACAGAGACATCGATTTGATTTAAACCAGACATCTCCAAACTTAGAATAAAATCTGAAGAAACCGTGAGGAAGATTCCACAAAGCTTAACGTCAACATCGCAATCCATAGCGCACAAATACACATTCCTAATGTCCAACAACTCAAGTCGAATAAGGTCTTTGCCAATTTCGTTTCAGCTTCAGTATAAAACCTTCAGAGTTTGGTAAAGCCAGAAAGAAAAGAAAAGACAAAATGAATAATGGGAAAAGATTCGGCAGACACAGCCTCTCGGTTTTGCTAATCCACCGCACAAATCACGTTGAATATCTTCGCCCATTCCGCTATGTAAGAAAGAAAAGTAACATCTTCTAAGATCAGAAAAAGGAGAAAAGGCACATTGGAACAGTCTGACTTTTCGGAATTCTAAAAGTGGAGGTTTCTTCATTTTTCTTGTTTACATTTATGTTTCCAATCACAAATAGGAACTTGTAGACGGTAAAAAAATACACTAATTTGATTTAGTCTCTTGTTTTGGTAAGTTCCCTGTAGCTGCTGTCATTGTTGTTCTTGGTACCGCCTTGTTCTATGTGGCTATGCTTCTTGGGACAGAGCACGCACATCGGTACATTTGAGGTATTGAACCTTCAGCACATTAGATTACTGAACTTTTTTCAAAACAAAAATTACTAACTTATTGTTTGGAACGTTTTTCCTACACACACACACACACACACACACACACA